AAGAGACAAGCATGACTTTCTGAACTCAGATAAATACCCTTGGGAAGTTTAAAAAGAAGCCTTGCTTGTAAAGTGCATCTGAAATACAGTTGCTGTGACAGATAGTATCTCATGCCATAATATTAATACGAAAGGATTGCTATTTAATACTGGTATGAAAAAAAACAACAAATATTGAACAGTTTTATGGAGTTTCTCTGCTCCGGCAGGTGACTAAATGTGTGGCTTTGCATGATTACATATTTCTGTGCATGCCCCTAATGAGCTGTCAGCACTTTGAGTAGAACTTCTACAGAGCAAAACCTCTCTGGCTCCCTACCTAGCACTTGGTGTTGTGCATCAGGGTGTCAGAACACACGCCGAGCTATAGAAGATGGACGTGAGTGAAGCGCTAACAGAAGTTACCCTTTTCCTTCTGCCACCAAGACAAGCAAGGATAGATAATGAACAAATATGTTGAAAGACCATGTCATTAGAAGATGTTGCAGTTAAAAGGTGTTTCATTATTCAGGATGAGGAAGCCAGCTCAAATTAGGCAATTCAATCACAGCTAACTCATATATATATGTCTATGGGCTCTTGTAAACTGTAGAGTCATAATCTTCACAAGCAAGAATATTAGTCAAACAGATATTTTTCCAAGCATCGTACAAACACAGAAAAACATAATGCTGCATTAGTCATCCTTGCTTGTCTTCTGAGAATCCTGCAATTGAATTCATGTTTGGAAGTAAAGAATGTGTTGTCTGCCGGACAAGAGGGATGAAAGCTAATCTTAGTTATGTCAAAAATAATGGCAATAAGTCGACGTATTCTATATGGTGAGTCACTGCTGAGTACAATCCCACAAATGAGCTGTTCCTGTAAGTCTGCTAACTGCTGGGTATTAAGCACTACTGTTTATCTACATGCAAGTCTCACAGTCTGGTTTAGTGATTTATTTGTCAGTAAAATTCCAAGTAGCTTCCAGTGAAAAGCAGATTACCCACAACTATAGCATGAAATATGTTACAGCAGAGTTGCAATCTGTATCTTCTTTATATGTCATGTAATCTGTTAATAGCAGCAGGGTTGTGATATTCCTCTTTATTTATGCATTACTGTCTGAACAGTAAGCCCCTAAAATACAGATGTTATAATATCTTGGGATGTTATAATATCTTGCGGGTCGATACTAATTGTATTGCAAGTATTTCAGATGCATTTTGTGTAATGCTATGATTCTAAGTAATATTAAAAGGATTTGATTTGCAGAACAGCTTAACATTTTGTCGGTGTAACTCTGCTGGCATAATTAATAATCATCATTTAGATGATTAACTCCATCATCTAAAGTGAGGGAACCCCATAAACCTGAATTCACACAGTATCCTACTCTTAGCTGTGTTTGTCTGCACCCATGATGTCGGCGCCACATTTCAGAATTGCACAAATTTTCTTGAATTCCTCTTCAGCTCTATTTTCTGTTACCCTTGAAAAAGGAGTCTCCTGTAGTGTATGACACATTTCCAGCATGGCTAATCAACTAAGTAAGTGGAGAAATATCTACGTGGCAGCGAAGGCTTGCTGTTTGCAGGTTTCACAATTTTTTAAATTTTTAATTCAAAACATAGTAATTCCAAACACTGCAATGCTCTTCCACTTTTTGAACCTTTAATATAAAATATGTGATTTGGAGCTTTTTTTTTTTTTTTTTTGGATTGAGAACGATGGAGATCTGCTCAGCCACAGTCTGATCCTGGAAACATTTACAAGCATATTGGCAACTTTGAGTCACTTTATATGGCTTGATATTTAATATTTGGAATCGCTCTGTATATCTTGCAGTCTGTGCTGGAATGAGCTATGTATTTTGCTACAACACTGTAATTTTGATGGTGTCAGTTGTGTTAATGAGGACCATCAGCTTTGTTACAAACTAGTGCTTTTCAAAAGGAAAATGCACTTTAGAATTGCAAGAGTAAGGGATTTAGGAAATTTGTCTTAGGTTTATATGCAGTATTAAATTTGTCTTAGGTTTATATGCAGTATTACAGTGCAAAACCTTCAGCCACTGGTATATAAGCAGGTAGAGTTCTGCATAGGCAGTGTTGGCACTAGGAAAAGTTTATCCCAGTTTCTAATAACCCCATCACTAACTACTTAAATAAACAGGGAGTTCAGAGATTCATGGCACTCTTGATTGAAACAGTGTTGAGGAGTGGAAGCCGCTTGCAATCTCTCAGAACTTTTGTAATTGCAAAATTACTCTCATCTGTTTGCAAGTTTGAATAAAAAGTGTTTGGGGCTGCTAGTGTTTGAGTTCAAAGAATAACTGTGGTTTGCCAAGGCAAGAAGTGGATAATTAAAGCAATGTTTATGCGTGCACTGAGAGTTTCAAAACAGGACAACTTTAAAGTTTTCTTTTTCAAGACTGAAAAGGAGAGAAAGTGAAAATAACCCCCAAAATGTATTAGTTCAAGTCTCAATATCCTAACAGCTCTGGAGAGTTGTATAATAATTACAGTTATTAGCAAAGAAGTTATTGTAAGAGTTACATTCTGATATTTTCTATGTATTATGCAGCCACAAGTGGCCAGACCACCTTGCTCAACTCACAAGTCAAAACAAGACTTTCTGAGAAGGTGAATCCTGTTCCCAAGGCCTGCTGTGAGAGAGAGGCCTTCTGCTSTGGCTTCGTGCACCTCGGCCAACACGAATGGTTTGGTCATTAGAGCTTCTGTGCTTTCCATGAATTAGAGAGCAAAGCAGAATTTGCTTTATTTATATTGAGTCTTGCCTGTTAATAGTAATGACCAGCTTCATGAAATGGGGCTTGAAAGACACACTGTAAAAATAGACACTAAAACTAACCAGGGGTCAAGTGTATATTAGATTCTCTCTATTAGGCTCATTATTCAGTAATATCCAGTCTTGTAGATGTAAAGAGGTGAACATTTAAATATTTTTGATGCGGTTGATGGGAAGTTGAGCAAGACACCCCGTCGTAGAGCTTATATCCAAACAGATCGCTATTTCTGCTCAGTTGCTCGGGACAAAACCATTTCCTTTCGTGTTGGTTTCTGATGGTTCAGAGGTGGTTTAGGAGGCTTTTGCAGGGGGTAGACRTTCTCTGTGTGCTTGGACAGACAAACTCTCTCCTCACACGTTACTGCAGTGCAGTTGGAGCCCCTGGGGCCGTATCCAGGCCCTCCTCCCAGTGTGCAAGGCCAGGGTTGGAGTCATCCCATGGATTTTCAGAGGGCTACCTGCATACCAAAGCTCTGTAAACCGGTGCCCACTGCTGAAGTGGCCTATGAAAGCTCTGAGGTAAAAACCCTGATTAGAAGGAGCTTCATTAGCTGCAGAGTTACATCTATTTATTTTTAATTGATTTTGGAGAGAGGTTACCTATCATTCCCCATAAACATCAGCATGCTCTTGAAAACAGTTCAGTATTAGTGTGTGAGAAGACTTTTTCTCAGCTATCTTTCCTAATGGAAAAGAGTGTTAATTTTGCTTGAAGAGGAGCTATTTGAAATTTTGCAGATGCTCATAAATTTAGAAATACTACTTGCCGGTCAATACAAAACTTCCTGGTTTGTAAGGCAAAGATAGTTTTTCTTGATGCTTTTAGCTAGTATTATTTGCTGTGAATAATGGCAGAATTGCAACCATAGAAAGCTGACACTAGTAAATGAAAGGTCATCCTCCTCTCCTCCTTTTTTTTTATATTAAAAAAATACCTTTTCCTCACATGAAAAGTGCTACACTGGGTTAGGAAAGATATTATTGAGGATCAAGCAGCTTTTAATCAAGGAATGAATGTTACCCCAGTATGTTTTAAGGATGGAAAAGTACAGAAACACAGTGTTGTAAAATGTGTGAACATTCATATAAAATTAACTGCACACACTTAATCTGCTGCAGGCTTGTTTTTAGCACTGAACATTCCCGTTTTTCTTAAACATTCTTCAATGGAAGGAGATATTTTAAATATTACAGTAATCATTCTGTTTTATTTGTGTTGTCCTAATGCCTTAAAAATCCTACAGCTTGAAAAATCAAGTTCAAATGAAAGTTTGTGGAAGGCCCTTGACATAGGACACACCACTMTTCTGTTTTGATGGGAATGTGTTAAGATATAGCAAGTTGTTACTAGAGGGATTTTACAGTGATAATTATTTGCTCCCTAGATCCTTGTGGGTGAGGGAACCAGTCAGGGATGGAGGCTCAAAAAGGAATGTCAGTATGTTCCGCTAGGTGGTCAGGTGTTAAATTAATTAAARGTGTTAGATTAATTCTGTGATTCTGTGATTTTAGAGGGAGAAGGTGTACCCTGTTACAGGTCTAGTTCTAGGCTACGTTTTCTCCTTCTGTCGGAAGCTGGTGGTGGTAACAGTAAAGTTCTCCCAAGCCGATGACACAAGTCAGCACTATCACCTTTACTAACCAAGCACTTTTCAGGGAAGTGTATCATGAAGTCAAAATGATCTAGCCTATCATGAAGTTAAAATAAAATACGTGCTGGAAAAGGAAAACAGGGAAGAAACCATTGTGGTGGCATCATTTCCACAGCATCCCGCCGCATCCGAAGGAATTCCCGTGGCCGGCACATTTCCTGGGAGTCTTTGCCTGCCTTCTGCTCTGAGCTGCGGCTCCCCCATCTCCAGCCATATCCTCGGTGGCTAATCCTCTATGGATGCTTTCATTGCTGCTTGCTTGCAGCCTACAAAATCCAGTTTTATGTTAAGTAGGTGGGTAGCTGATTTGCCCGCATGCCGTTCTGGATCGGGCCTTTATGAATTGTTTTTAGGCACCAACGCGGACAATGAAAGCTTTATATCARTTCCCCAATTAGCAGTAATCATTCTTGTTAAACTTGGGTAAAGAGCTGTAGTATGCGATGAATGTAAAGTATTCATTCCTGTGTGTGTGTGGTTTTTTTTTTCCCTGGATTTCCACTTTGGTACATTTTGTAAAATAGTCTTATAGCGCTTGTTATTTCTGTCCTATTGCAGATTGAGAATGTTGATGTCTGCCTTAGCTTTCTGGCAGCCAGAGGAGTAAATGTCCAAGGTCTTTCTGCAGAAGGTAAGAGAAAAATTATCAGGGAAAAAAAAAAAAAAGATTATCAGAAAAAAAAGGGTGTATTTTGAAATATATTCCTTTATTCATAACTTACTTTGGAAAATAATATTTAAGGGTTATAAACTTGACTGAGTAGCATTAAATGCAGATACTACTAACTGCAGTAATTCAACATAGTGTGAAATGCAAAGAATAACTTATAAAAGTTTTAAAAATCTGGAAAAACGTAATTCTAAAGTGATCTATTTCATAGAATTTTGAATTAGTTTAGTCTTCCTGTAATTTTTGAAAGCTGTTAACAAAATAAATTTGTTTTGCTTGGTAAGGGTCCTCTACTTTGAAACATTCAWATGATGTTTCTAGCTTTTCTTGAGAAGATCCCAAATTTTCATTACCAAGGCTCTAACAGAGTGAATGAGAGTGTAAGATGAATGCAGTATGCAGAAGTTACCAGTGAAATCCTCATTTCACTGAGAAAAATAGCAAAATGAAGTGAATTCTAAATGTGGACCTCTGTTTTGTTTTATTTTTGGAGGTGTCTACACATTCCAGCCACAGAATATTAACTGTATTTCTGGTATTCTTATCACTTCAACATTGGGCAATAGCACACAGAAATTCATGAGGTACATTCTGATAGAGAGATGCTAATGAAAGTTTATGCTAAAGTGAAGTTACTTAGAAGAGAAATAATTCATTAGTATTACTGAGTTCCTTTTTTAATTAAAGAAACAAGGCTACCTAAATAAAGTCATTCTGGAAAGACAAAGTAAGCCAAGAATGCACCGTCCTCTGATTTTATGCACTGCAGATATGTTTGAAGTAAAATCAAGTCCTTCTAAAACACACAGTTTGCATACTACACAGATAATGTATTATTTTTTCTCCATTTCTGCTTTGTTTTATTATTATTAATATTATTTTTAAGTCATGAGTGCTTTTACCTTAAATGCCATCACTTTGGTGTGCCATTTCCATTTCTTAGAGGTTTGTAGTTCCTTGTCAGCTGTAATAATTCTTCAATCTCAAAAACTTCACCAAAAGCACAGTGGTGGCAGACTTTAAATTCAAAAAAAAAAGATTAAAGCTAATTTTGCTGTTTTGCACTTTGTCATGAATCTGCTCTAAGTGCTTCAAAATCTTTTTGACTGATCTTACTGAGGACTAACACAGGCTCCCATAAATTGGGACATTTGGGGTATGTACAACCCTGAACATGACCATTTTTCCTGAGAAGAAGGAATTCTGGAACAGGAAAACATAATTGTAACAAAGATTCAAGACGCCTCTCACCCCAGTTTGAAACTTGAGCAAGGAGTTCCAGAGTAAAAATCATCCCCGAATTTTGACTGCAGAATCTCTGCAGGAGATCCCATTTTCTGAACAGAAAAACAATCCTACCTCTTTCTCCAAAAAAWTTAGCATATATTATATATTTTTTTCCATCTAAGAGAAATCTTCCAACCCTAAGTGGTTTTAAAGCAGGAAAGAAAATGTTCAGGAATAATTTCTGAAGTTCTCATAGTCTCCTTTAAAAATAGACAAAAGTGTAGTTGAAGATAAAATATAGAGAAGTTTTAAGTTAAAAATATGAATAATGATGTGACTTTTTAAAACAAAAGTTTCTTTCTTACTGAGTAATAAATGGTAAAAGTGATAAGCATAAACTGGTATCAGGTACAAAAATGTTTTAAAACTAGAGCAGCCTAAAGGGTATTTATGTGTGGGAATTTTTCAAGATAATTTTAAATAGGAATTTTCTTCCTTCCTTGATGATAATATTCCTTGAAACTAATGTGACTGCAAATCATTTTTTAAAAAGCTTTCTAATTCTGAGAAAGATCTTCTGCCTATTGGTGGTGGTTTCATGGGGAACCCAAGATCCTGCAGCAGGACGGGCTTTCTGAGCACGTTGCTGTTTTGCAGCACACCCCAGCATCCCGGGTTGTGTTTGCTTTCTTGTAACAGAACAAGTGTATAAAGGCCATTTGCTGCCCTGTCCGTGTATGTGCTAGTAACTCTTCTGCTGCTTTTTAAAGAAAATAAACATGTTTTAAGCACATGAATATGACAATGCTCATTTATAAATTCTGTTTTAAGTGTTGCATAAAAAAGGRCGAGTGGCACCTCCAGCTTGAGAAGGATTGCAGTGCTGCATGCTAGTTCTTACGTTGGTACAAACCTATAGGCCTAATGGAAACCTTTTCCAAGAAGTTCAATGCCAAAGAAAATTGCTAATGAATCAAAATGATAATTTCATTAAAGCTCCCTTCCCTCCCTCTCAGGCTTCTTTTTGATACATATTCTTTATATGGAGAGAATAGCATAAGTCTTTTTAAAAGCCTAATCTCAGGCTGGGAAAAATAAACTAAACAATCAAACCAAACCAAACCAAAAACAGACTTAAGAGGGAAAGGAATAAGAGAGCCAAGGAAGCGACTGTGGATCACCGCAGTTTCATTCTGGTAGCTGTAGCCCTGTGTGAAAGCTGTAGTTTTGAAGCCTTCATTAGCCCATACTAACAGCATGAGAGAGAGACATAAGTAATCCTGTAACTGGAGACATAAATAATCATGTAGCTGGAAAATTCAAATATATAATCACACGCCTTGGGTTTTCTTTTTTCTCGGCATTTTCCATTTGCTAATCTTTCTGAAAAAGTGCTCTCATCTCCAAACCGTTACCTTCTCTTCTTCTCAATTTTTCCGGAAATCACCATTTGCTGCTAGAATTTGACCAAACATCAAGGATATAAAACAGGTGATAAAAGGGATGAATTCAAATGTTACCACTTGCTCTCCCTCCTCACCTTCTCAAGAGTCTTCGAATTGTGTCCTGGCAGGAGCACTCGTTAGAGATCCTGTATTTTGTTTAGGGTTTGGCATTCTCATCTTTATGTTAATGCATCTGTGACTCATCATGACGAAGTTATGTAATAGGTGTTTACTGAAAACAAAAAAAGGCAGATAAATGACCAAAGGTTATAGTAGTAATAAAATGTGCACCTATCTGTTTTACTGATACAAACTGAAAGCCTAAAACCACAGTGATTTCACWTCTTTTTCCTCTGTCATCTTTTTTTATAGAAATAAGGAATGGAAATTTGAAAGCCATTTTAGGCCTGTTTTTCAGTTTGTCTCGCTACAAACAGCAGCAGCATCATCAGCAACAATATTACCAGTCTTTGGTGGAGCTGCAACAGCAAGTTCCTTCACCTCCAGCTGAAAGCAGCCAGTCCAAAACACACCAAGATATGCAGTCCAGGTAGGTTAAAAAGTTATTTTTCTCAGGTGCAAAATCCTTTTACTTGGTTGTCCAAGAACCATAACTTCAGGTGGAAAGATTCTGTCACCTACAGATGACTTTTTAAGACATTGTTTGCAATATATGTAGTAAAATGGTAKCTATCTTAAGTGTGTGCTTGTTTTTAAACTTGCAGTTCTTGGATATAAAACTAAAGTGAGCAAGAAATAAATTTAGTTTGAGTATTAATTAATTCTAAGATGTTCTTAGACTTTTTATCTGCTTTCTCCAAATGATCTACAAAATGACTTTACTTACAAGGCAGATAGCAGAAAACTTGAGTTGTTGGCTAGAAATGCAGCTCTTTGGAATAAGCTCATCTGAGGGACAAAACAGTCTTTTGCATAATCAGAACCAATCAAACACTCAAGAATTATTGGATAGATTATTTCAATGTTTTCCTCACATACCCGGTTCTGTACACAAATGATTGATTTCATATGATCAGCAAAATAAGCACAATCACTAGTGTTATGGGTTATAAACTCTTTTCACAACAACATATTCTGTTTTTAGGTGCTTAGCTCTCTTTGATTTTTATATTTAGGAGAGAACAAATGGCCCTAATCTCGTTTYTTTTAAGTGATCGGTTTAGGCTTAGGGAAGTACAAAACTCAGCAGAATTCTTAACTGCTGAATTACATTGCTTTCAGAGCAAAGCTGAACAAATATTTTTCAAAGGTTGCTTATTGGCCATGACAAAAGAATCAGTTTTAAACACAAATATCTCAGTGGAAGGAGTCTTAGCAACATATGCCTTACTGGGGAAGGAAAACGAAGGCCATCCATGTGCAAGACTATGGAAAATGGAGTTTTAATGAAGAGCTTTATGCACTGTCCTATTTGGTTTAAAGCTTGTTTGATATATTATTTGTTTGTTTAAAAGATGTTTGCGTACTTCATGAATAATAGAGTCTCTAAGATGTGATAAGTTAATGAAGTAGGATAGAATAAAAGTATCAAGAGCATAATAACAATATTCTGGTTCTTGAGTCTACTCATATTAAAACTACACTGTCATGTTTATGATAAATTTATTCTTTCTACTTAGAATACTTTTTCAGACTTTAACCTAATAGAAGTCTTTGGCTTGCAACTAGGAAAGCTGTAAAAATAAATTTAGGGGAAAATGTTGCTGGTAGTAATTACCTGATTTGATAAGATAATTAAGATATACTTTCATTTGCTTTGGGCATTACAATATGAAATGTATTTTTTTTCCTCTGCTACTGAATGTTAATGTTTTTGCCYACTCTTCTGTATAGTTTACTATGAATGTGTAATGTGGGGAATTATGAGGTGATTCTGGAAAAATGTGAGAACTCTCAACATTTTCTGAAGCTGAATTTTTGCATTCTGAAGGAGACAATACTCTGTTTAAGGAAATATCTTGCTCTTGAGAAAAATAAGTTCTTTTTCAGTATTATTCCATCAAAATGACAGTGTTTTGAATGCAGATCTACAAGCAGCCTGTGTTTACTGCAGGGACCAGCCAGCTGCACATAAATACCATTGGATATGCATTTTTGCTTTGGATTTAGTAAAAGCACACAGAATAGGTACTGTATCCCCATATACATTACCACTATTGAAAGGTAGTGTGGGCAAAAAAAGCTTGGAGCAAAGCAGTTGTTTGTGATTTGGAGGATAGCGAGTGCATCCTGGTCCTTTGCCTGCTCAGGAATGGTAAGCAAAGAGGGGATGAATTTGTTACAAAGCTCTCCTTTCCTTGTAATTCCTTGAGCTCTCGTGGATCTTCAAACCTTTTCTCTGCCCTTTTCGTTTCCTATGTTTAAATATACGTCACTACAAGGAGATACGACCGTTCTATGTCCACAACTCCAGCTTTCATGCCTTCATTAAGAGACAGAAATACAAAAGCTAAGAAAATTTCTCCTTCCATTAGCATGCTTTCAGCCCTCTACTTTAATGTCAGACTATTTCATTCCTTGATTAAATTTAATGGCTGTGTTTCAGCTACAAAATTTTTCAGCTCTTAAAGATTTTTATACTGAGCGTGATAGTATCTTCCTTATTTCCTATCTCTAAACTGAAAGCAAGAAATTAGTTGTTTGCTTCTTGCTAATCAAGCAGTTCAATCTCTTGGTCACCATAAACTTCTGTTCTCTCTCTGAAGAATAAACTTTTCTCTTTCCATATATTTTCCATTTATATTTCGGCAAAGGCTTTTTAAGTAAAGACAATGTCCATAGTTCTGAAAGCTTTATATATAAAAGACTTCCATCTTCTGCTGTAGACTCTTCTAATATTCTGCAGAATAAGTAAATCCAGGACATAGAAATGCTGGTATCAAAGAGAACATTAATTAGTTCATTATTTTGAAACATGCCATTACTTTGAAGTAATATTAAGAAATTGGCATACAAGAGCATGTCCCTTTCTTCTAGAAAATTGCTACACTTGAAAAACTTGTCGTCCACAAATACCTGTGTATATGCAAGCATTAATTCATGCAGACTCTCTATAGTGGTCTCAGCAACCTTTCTTTTTGTAGTAGTAATTTAATTATATATATATTTTTCCCCATAAAAAGCATGCATTTCAGAAAATGATTCAAAATGAGTTCCTGAGCAGCTTCTTAAGTTTTAGGCTGATAATGAGCAAAGAAAAGCTTNGAAGGGAGGAAGGGAGGAAGGAAGGAAGGAAGGAAGGAAGGAAGGAAGGAAGGAAGGAAGGAAGGAAGGAAGGAAGGAAGGAAGGAAGGAAGGAAGGAAGGAAGAGAAATGCATAAAATAAGATGATGGGATTCATCTTGCCCACTCTTTGCTGTTTAGAATGTGGACAGGTAGCCTATATCATTCCTAGAGTGACGTCCAGGTATATGATAGGACTGCTTTTATGGCAGCTTTCCTCTCAGGAGCAACTACTGAAGGAGACAATGTGACATACAGATGTACTAAGCATTTGAAGTTTGCAAGGCCTATGATGTATGATGTGAGGTCTACCTTTATTGATGTAAGTAGAAGCAGACTCAGGCTGCTGAAGTGTTAAGTCTATGTGAAATACAGAGTTGTGCTCCTCCCTCAGTATTTATGGCCTAGAAGGCTGCATGTATGGATGCTCCATTGGACACCTGAGAATCTTAAATATTTTGGACAAAATTTAAATTAATATTACTACTTAAACCTTCTTCTTTCATTGAATGAACTATGATATCTTGATAAAAGCTAAGCTGTGTCACAGCTTCATTTCATGATTTTTCCAAAGCAGTGATGATGAAAATAGTTTTTCTGTCCTTTCATATTAAATTTTAATCTTTAAGACTGTTATTGTAGATCATCATGCAGATATTCCTCCCTTTCTTGATTAACTTGCTGCAGTTTGGAGTGTACTTAAAAATTCTTAATGCTTTGTTTTCAAACATTTTATACTGCAAAAAGATTTGGCACGTAGAAAACGTAAATCAGCAAATAAGTGATGGCATATATTTGAAAAAATATTTGGCAAATATATGTAATAGAGACTATTTTCCACTGACTGGGTCTGTGGTCTTTTAATACTTAGGACAAGTTTTTGTGGGTGCTTGAGAAAGAACAGTGAAAAGGATCTCCATAGAATCACAAAAGTGGGATGATAGACATGGCAGCAGGTAGCGAAAAGGCACCTTCATCTTTATTAGGAATAACAAAATGTTCAGCCCTGACTCGAGTAAATTTTCAAATGCAAGAAGTTCTGTTTCTTACATGGGTGGTAGAGGGCAGTGCAACCCAGTTCAGATGCAGCTTCTCTTTATTTGATTGAAAGAATCATGAACTTCCCCTGGGCTAGACCTGCCGTTCTGCAGTGTTATATCCATTTGAAAGTATTTGTGTGGGCGCACGTGCGTGAGCAAAACCAAAGGATATTTACTGGAAAGGGTGTGTGCTTCTTATAGACTTTTTACGTTTTGAAAACTTCAAGTAATTTGTACTTTGGAACTTGGAAAGATTACAATTTATAATTGTAATCAGTTTAGGTCAGATGGCTGCGATGAACAAGTCATCATTTTGCTTAATCTTACAGCATGGGATTTGAAAATTTTATCCATGGTCCATCCTGATACACAGGAAATCATTCATTTAACCCAAAGTATGTGGATCTGTTTGTTTGTTTTGTGCTGATAATAATTGAGGATACAGATGTGGAAACATGCAGGCCCCACGGAAGACAAAGACAGATTTTGTCCTTGCACAGGCCAGGTTAGAGACTAAATCTGATTTAAGAGAGTGGTTCTGATGGAAGTGCTGTGATTCCCATTTCTAGGTATTCCCAGTCCTATGAAATCTGTAAATAACCAAGGCCCAAATCATGCAACTTGTGCTCATCTAAAGGGAACAGAATTCCAGACATGAAAGAGTCATTGGCCTATGTGCAAGTCTAGGGACAACGGCTACATTTCAAATCAAATGGAGAAAGAATAAGGAAGTTAATAAATGTCAAGTAAATTTACACTGTAAGGAGYATGCCTTATTTATGGGAGGTTATAAATTAGTACCCTAAACGTCAGCCCCCTTAAAATGATTTGGATAATTAGTGKAAAAATCTGTGGTAAATAATAAGCAGAAACTTGAGGTAGGTGGAGGTTTTAGAAGCAATTTCTGATGTCTTTTCATCCTAAAGTGTCCTACATTCTTGTATGACTAACGATGGGAGTAAATGTGAGGTAGGCACATCACTATTTAGTTAGAATTTGGTTGCTGCGTTGAGATTTAGTACGAAAAAATACAGTGCTGGTGGCCTTATTTATATCTGTCAGTACAGATACATGACAACAATGGTTACATTATATTTTTATGCTTCACTTTGCTAGTGGATTCCATTATCACAGCAATACATCTAAACTTGCTACAGTGGTGATCTTTCAACCACCCAGATACTAAGAGAAAACACATGTGGATGAAAGAAGTTCTGTCTCATTTATGGCTTAGGCAGTAACTGGTTTCAGTAAGCTGTCAGCAAAA